GGAGTAGCAGGGAAGGGATCCTGCCTGCGCAGGTGTGTATGTGGGGGGAGGTTAGTGAAGATAGCGACAGGGGAGGGGTACTGCAGCCTGGGTCTTGGGCTCTGACAAGCCCTTCTCCACGTCCATCCAGTCTGGCAAAGTGCAATTGGCCCGGGGTGGTGGCAGGGGTCCTGCCTGGCACTCCGGCTTGTGTATACACAAGGCAGTGGCTGGAACAGAGGCCGGCATACCCCGGGAGGCATGCTGTCTGCTGTTCCGTGGTCAGTGGCACCCTTGAGGGCCTCGCTCTGCTCAGACCTCCCTGCAGGGGAGGAGAGAGACAGTCCTTTCTTGGCTGATGCCACTCAGAAGGGCTGTGGCCACCCTCTCCTCCCCACTGGAATCCTTAGGCCCCTTCACCAATGCTCACTGCAGATACCCTCAGCCAGGCTCTGGGGCAGGCCTCACTGAGGCTCCCTCTCCCATCCATCTCTCTAAAGGCCATCTGTTCCCAACCATGACCGTGTCCCTACCCACTCCCGGAGCTCAGTGACCCCAATGCCAGCATGCTGGGCCACCTGCGCTCTACCCCAGGCCAGGACACTCACGAGGCAGTGAGCGTGGAGTTAAGCAGCAAGGTGGTCCTGATTCGGTAGAGCTGGGCCAGCGTCAGCTTCCTGTGCTGGGCGGAGATCCCTGGGGGGAGCTCGGGCTGGACCCTGGGCAAGGCCCCGGAAGGCAGCTCTCGGCTCCTGTTGGCAGGTCCTTCAGGCTCCTCAGCCAGGCAGTTGGTTCTGCCCTCCATTTCTGATAGCTCGGGGCCACTGCCAGGGCTGGGTGGCCCCCTGCAATTCCAGCTGGGCCCAGCTTCCTGAGGGGAGCACTGAGTCCTAGCACCAGGAACTGGAGCGGCCAAGCAGAGTTCTGACAGGCTGCGGCTGGAGGCTAAGGGCACTCCGTAGGTGACCCCTGACAGCAGCTGGAGGAGGCTGGCCTCAGATTTGGACTTGAGCAGGTGGGGTAGACGGGGCAGCAGCTGGACAGGGGTGCGGCGGCGGAGGCGGGGTGAGGGAGGGGGTGAAGGGGCTGGTGGTAACTCTGGGGGCCGGGGTGCTGGCTCCGTCAGAGGGGCTGGGGTCACAAAGTCTTGCAAGGAGGTGGGGGAGAGGGTGCCGTAGGCGGAGTCCATAGAGCAGGAGCGGCTGTCCGCCGGGCCCAGGGGCAGCAGCTCGTTGGTGGGTGTGACAGATGAGGCAGTGGTGCTGAGAGAGGTCTCGTCAGACTGGGAGCTGAAGGGACCGCCCTCGAACTCGGGAGAGGACAGTGTCTCCCCAGGCTCCACCACAACCATGGCCAGTGTCTCCGTGGAGCCGTCCGAGGCACTGTGGGGCAGGGAGGGGAGAGTCAGTCCAGACACAGGATACCCTGCCGGCCTGGGACAGCCTCGCGCTGGGCAACGCGGAAGTCTACAGCCTCTCCCTCCCAGAGCTTGAGGCTCAGAGATGGCAAAATGTGGCACACTGACCGACTGTGCCAACCCCTGTGCCCACAACACAGACATCAGTAATGGTGTCTGTCACCATCACAGAGTTCTTTCCTGCTGCAGGCAGTGTAAGAGTCCTCAGCTCAGCTCAGCTCCAGGCAGCTACTAATGAATCAGGGTTGGCATTCAAGTTCAAAATTGTTTGTCATCCCCACTGGGCTCTGGTGGGAGACAAAACCCACCCCCGCCCCCTACTGGGTTCATAACATGAAGCCATTCAGAGGAAGGCATGGTGGGTCACGGCTGAGACCTGCCCGGTATCCATGGCCTTGGGGTCAGGCATCTGCGGCTGGAGTTCCTGCCCTGCCCTGGCCTGCTGGGTGGTTCTGGGCAAGCATACCAGTGCTGAGAGTCCAGGCTGTTGCTGCTTTTCCGCAGGATGGTGGGGGAGCTGGCAGCGGAAGCGCTACTCTCCCCACCTTCCTCTTCTTCCTCATCTTCCTCCTCATCCTCCTGCTCATCCTCCTCCTCTTCCAGGCTCTGCAGGTGCTGCTGGCTGCCTGGGTGCTCCTGTGCACGAAGTTGCTGCAGCTGGTTCTGCAGGTGGGAGTGGGGGTGCATAGGGGCAGAATGGGTTGTGAGCAGCTGCCTCTGCCAGACCGCCCTGTCCACCTGCACACCACTCTGCTCTCACCTGGGCGTTGTAAATGGCGTCCACCCAGCCCCGGCACAAGGCCTGGCCGCTGGCCTGGAACGTGTAGGCCCCCACAGCGCTGTGGAACTCGTTCAGGTAGATGAGGAGGAAGGAGCCTAGTTTAGAAGGGCTCGAATCAGTGTCAGCTAAGGCCACGGCTCCCGCCCATCACAGCCCTTGCCCAGGAGCAGGGGGTCAGGCCCCTCACCAGGGTCCCGCAGTTCCCGGCACACAATCTTGTCCACCAACAGTGGTGGCCTGATGACCTTGGTCCTCTCAGCCTTCTTCACTGCCTTGGTCACCAAGAGCAGGTCCGTGAAGAGGAAGCAGTATACATCCATCTGAGTGGCAGTGGGGAGCAGGAGAGGCCAGGGGTCAGGGCCAGGAACCCTCAGCCTGTCGGCCATTAACACCCTCTCCAGGGGATACTCAGACTTTGTCCAACACCTCCCCTGCTCATCCCCGCTGAGCCTGTCAGTAAAATTAATACGAAGAACAAGATGGTTTTTCTTCATCGAGCTACATGCCTATGATGCATTTCAATTAAAGTTTGAAAATAAAGAGGGAAACGGTGGTCCTTTTAAATCGTGATTTGCAGGCTCTGGGTTACGTAGCATCTGAAGGATGAACAGCTCAGGAGCAAGGGTCTGGGTGTTCCCGGCCTGCTCATGGAATGTGCCCCCTCCTTCCCCCCGGGAACCTATGTGGCACCAAGTGGGCAAGACCAACACCCCATGGGCTGTGACCCCGCTGCTGTATTTGTAAAGAGTAAACTGCAGGCAGATAATCATCCCTCATATGACCGCAAGGTCGCCAGTTCTTTATTTTTTTTTTAGCTTTTATTGTAGAGCACACGACAAGGTCACTAGTTCTTGAATCGCCACCCAACTGACTGGGCAGCTGAGAACCACTGACTCGGGTCCAGAAGGTGCCCAGAAAGGGGTGGTCCAAACCTGCAGGGCAAGAGGAGGTGGGGCAGGGGCCCTGGGTGTGGGGTGGCCCCCGGAGTCACCTTGCTGTCTTTCCCCTCCTTCATCCTCAGGCTCCCCTCCAGCAGCAGCTGTCGTGTCTCCTCAGGGGAGGCGCCAGGGATGGGCGCTGTCAGATCCAGGTGCAGAAATTCCTTTAGGAGCTGGGGGTGGGGGAGCAAGTGTGGGAGAAGCCAGGGTATGACCCCCCATCTCAGCTAGGCGTCCTCGGGTGTGATTCCAACACAGACCCTGTCTGCCGGTTTGGCCCTTCCTCCCCGCCCACCAGGGCCGGGACGCCCACCTTGTCCACCTCGTCGTTGCTGCCCTCCACCACCTCGTAGGCGTCGATGCGGCTCACCACTGCTGCCAGCCGCTGCCGCTCCTGTCGCTGGCGCATGCACGTGTTCACGTGGTGGATGAAGCGCTCCACGGAATCGATCTGGGGGCAGACGACGGTGGGTTCAGGCCCAGGGTCAGGGAGGGGCAGAGAGCGTCAGAAACCCCGCCCTGACTGTCCCGGTTACCATGGTGACGACGGCCTCCTTGGCGTGTGGCTCCTCGGTCTTCCTCAACACCGACTTGAGCAGCAGCGGGTATTTGGTGAGCCGCTGGTGGGGCTTGGCCAGCATGTCGCTCAGCTTCAGCCGCTGGCACTGCTGGTGCTTCTCGGCCCACTGAGGCCGGGAGACAATGGCGGGGCTCAGGGCCACGTGCAGGGCCACGTGCAGCCCTGATGGGCCCACTGTCCTCCACCCTTGCCCACCAGCCAGGCCTGCCCTCACCGTGACATAGGCCCGGAAGAGGTCGTTGTCGCGCAGCAGGCCGCGCATGTACTCCATGCAGCCCTCCTCCTCCATGCAGTAACGGATGTAGGGCTTGAAGAGGGAGCCGAACTGGCGCAGGGCGGAATAAACACACACTGGTCACCTGGCGCTCTACGGGCGGGGCCCTGCACAAGCTCCTCCTTACTGCACTTTCGTGACCACCCCAGCAGTGGCAAGCTTATTATCCCTGCTTTCCACATGAGGAAACAGCTTCAGAGAACGCGACCACCGGCGGCCAGGTAGCAAGGGTAGATGGCCAGGTGGGGTTCAAACCCGGGCGACGGACTCGGAATTCCTTGCCTCTGACCACTAGGGGTCGTGCAGGGCTACTGGTCGGGGGCAGCTGGCATGATGGGCAGATGGGATCAGCTCCCCAGCCCTGCCTCCGTGTCCCCGCAAGTGTGCGGCCCTGCCCGTACCATCTTGAAGCCTTTGAGGAAGTCTGCAGGCTGCAGCAGCGCCCGCGTGCGCCGCGCCTTCTCCAGCACCGGCGCCATCACACTGCTCCACAGCCGGCGATGCAGCCGCGCAATCTCCGGGATGTTGCTGAACAGGCGTTCGGCTTCCACCTGGGGGGCGGTGGGGGTGCGCTCAGCCCCACCCCCGTCCTGCCTCGGGCTTTAACCCCTCCTCTATCCCCGCCCCCTGAAGCCAGGCCCCACCTCCGCCTACTCCACCTTTTGGCCCCGCCTTCTTCCAGCTCCCCCCCACCCGCCTCCGCCCTTGCTTAAGCCCTCGCCCTATCCAGGCGGCCAGGTCCCGGCCCCTCCAGTACCGACCCTCACCGCACCTCACACAGCAGCCCCGATTCTTGCAGGTTCAGGAGGCAGCACAGGAACAGCTGTGATGATAAGGGACAGCGCTGCAGCTGGGACGGGAGTAGGGCGGCGCGGGAGTGCGGGCGGAGGGCGGGGGCAGCAGCTCCCAGTCCCGACGCCCCACCCAGATTGTTAGGCTCTCTACCTTCTACCCTCCCTGGAGGCCCGGTGGCACCCTGGGACAGAGAGGGCTCACTCTTTGAGAAAAGGCCCAGCCCCCATGGCCCACCTGGAAGGAAGCTTGCAGCCACACCTGGAACACTAATCCACCTCTGCCCTCGCTCAGCCTGGGTTTCCACTCAGAGGGTGCCATCCTTGAACCCCCAAGCCCAGGACAGGTGCTCCCCTCAGGTCAAAGTCCCTACATACATGCCCCCCTCCCAGTGCCTACCCACTTTGTCTCCACTCCAGGATGTGGGCTGCTGGGCACCTGGCACACAGCAGGTGCTCAGGAATAGCCGTTGAAATAGTGAAAAGATGAGGCCTGTGTTCATTCAGCTCCACCAGCCAAACCTGCCAGAAACCCCCTCCCAGGTGCCTGGGCCCTGGGAGTCACCTCCTCCCGAGGGTGCGGCCCTTCTCACTCTCCTTCTCTTTGTTGCCTGGCACCTGCTCCTTCTGCAAAGGCCCAAACTGTGCTCAGGGGCACCCAAAGGAGGCCACGGGGGGGGGGGCAGATGGGGTGGCTCCGGGCCACTGTGGCCCCACACTCACATTGGTGATCACCCGCAGTTTCTTAATGTAGGAGGCCTCTGTGTGCAGCAGCTCCCACACCGCTTCCTGCTGGTGGCACTGCCGCCGGGTCAGCTTCTGTGGGGAGGGGAGGGGTCGGCCAGGAGCCCGGATTGAGCAGGGATGGCCAGGGAGGGGAAGGGTGAACAACCTTGCATGTACCCTCCTTTCCCGGTGGAGACGAGGTCCCCCAAGTTCTGGGCCTTCCTCTGCCACTAAAACAGCTAAATGGCACACTGCATTTTCACCTCGCCTCAGTTTCCCCAAAGTGGGTTAACGATGACAGCAGCCTGGCAGGGCTGTCCTGTGGAACATCCTGCTACTGGGTCCTCAGAAGGGCCCCATCAAGTGGGAAGATAATGTGCCTTTTTCCCCGAAGGAGGAGGGAGGGGAGGACTGCAGGGGTGGCACCCACCTCATGCCCATCGATGAGCTCCCGCCAGCTGTCCTCCAGCCGCAGGCAGGCGTCCCCTTCCTCCTCCTCCTCATCCCCTTCCTCCTCCCACGAGTCGTGGTCAAAGCGCAGCCTCCGGGGCAGCCGGGGCAGCCCGAAGAGGCCGTAGGCGTGCAGCTTGCCCTCCAGCTGCTCCATCTTGTCCACCTCCTGGAAGGAGCCCAGGGTCAGGGTCTCGGGGCCAGCCCGCTGCCCTGCCCCAGGGCCCAGGGGACCACGTACCCGGCCGAAGGCACTGGTGCTGGGGCCCGAGCTGAAGAAGCCGCTGAAGCGACTAGCCGCCCGGTTCTTCCAGCTGTCGTTGCCGCCACTGCTGCCGCTGGGCAGAGAGCAGCTGGAAGGCGTAGGGGGCTCCTGTCCAGGGATGCTGGCCTCCCCCAGGAACTCCGACATGTTCTTTCGTCGGCGGCCGGGGGCCTAGCCAGGGATGGGTGGTCAAGGCCAGGCCCGCCCTCGCCCCCACAGCCCCACCCCATGGTAGGTTTCCTGGACCTCAGGCCAGCCTGGGATGGGAGAGGGTCTCTGCAGTCCGTCCTGGGAGGCCACCTCTCCTGAGACCCACACATGCTCTGGGGGCTGGAAGATCCAGGCACAGATGCACCCAGACGGCCACCCAGCCACAAGCACGAAGCAGGTGGGGAAAAACACAGTCACACACACACTCAGAATCACTTAGAAGCACTGCTCTACGAGGATCAATACACACTCATGCGCCAGTGACACACACAGTCTCACTCCCCATGCAATGTCTGCTGAGAGAGAAAGAGAGACAGACAGACAGACAGACACACTCCCTGGGCACTAGCAGATTCTGAGACAAGACCCATCACCTTGGGGTACAGTTAGATCCAGGGAGGGTCCCCGTTTCTCAGCACCAGCTCCATTTCCAGAAGGGGAGATTAAAGCCCCAAGAGGGAACAATGAGGGGCCTGGATGACCTCCCCTCTGAGGTCCCTCCCCACCCCCAGCCCTGACACAGCCCCTCCTTCTCACCAGGATGTCCAGGCTCTCCCGGCGGCTCTGGGGGTCCACACGCTCCAGGGCAGGGGTTCCGGCCCCAGCTGGCCGCAGGATTGGCAGACTCAGGGACTTGGAATCCTTCACTCCCTGTTCCACCTTCCCCTCGTCCCCTGGCTTGGCTGGGGTGGTATTAGGGGGCAAGGAGAGGTCCTCAACACCAGATCCAGTGGAAGAGGGCGCCCCAGCTCTCTTCTCCCCCAAGGATCCAAACCAAGGCCTAGGTGCTCTCCCCTGAAGCCCCACCCTGCCACTACCACCGCCACCGCCGAGCAAAGACACCTGTATGGTAATGAGCCTGCTCAAGGCCATGGCCTGTGGGAACCTGAGCCCAGGAAGAGGCACCCATCTCCAGAAGGCTCAGCCAGGCCCCAGCAACCCAGCCGGCCCAGCCAGCTGCTCACCTTTGACCCGCAGGTAGTGGCCACCAAACCTGTAGGCCTCGAAGGTGAGGGACAGGGGCGTGTTGGACTGGTCCAGGTAGATATCCACTTTGCCCAATGCGATGCCCTTCCTTTCAAATATGGGCAGCAGAACCTCCCTGCCCCAGAATGGGAGGTGTGTCTGTTAGGGAGCAGTCACACGAAACCCCATCCTACCTACAACCCCAGCTCCTTCTCGCCTTCCCAATGGAAAAGGGAGACACCCACGGAATCACACACAGGAACACAGACACACAGGTGTGTGCTCACACACACTCCTGCACGTGTCTACACACAAGCCACCACACCCATGCCCTTACACACTGACATCTGCACACTAGGGCAAACACTGTCACAGGCCCTAGCACAGCCAGGGACTGGGCCATGCATCCAGGGTTGGAATACATACATAGGTGCACAGGCCCTGACACATTTCCTTACACTGGTGTGTGCACCACATGGGTGGGTCTGCCCACAGGTGGGAGACACGCTCACAGGCCACCACACAGACACACAGTCAGCTCTGCAGAAGGCCGAACCTGCCCCCCGCCCACTTCTGCCCTCGGGCCCACCAAGCTCTACCCCAGCGACTTCTTCTTCATGGCTGGTACGATCTCGGTCTCAATGTCCACATTCAGGTCAAATTTCAGGGTGAAGCACTCCTTGCTCGGGTCCTGAGAGGACATGGGTCTCGGCTTCTGCACCGTTTGTCTCCTGCCCTCCCCACCCCAGGGCCCAGGATGGGAACCCCAGCAGGGAGTGAATGCAGGGACTCCCCAGCCCACCTCTGTCCCAGGGGGGCCCCCAGGGTCTCTCCTGCCTGAGGGGGGAGCCCCCGGGGCCTCCCAAACCTGGCTAAGCTGGGCAATGCTGGGCTGCAGGACAGGGCGGCCAGGGAGGGACACACCCGGTCCCACGCCTGGTCCTGGAGTTCAGGGCAGACAGGCCCAGCCTTGGGGATGGAAAGGAAAGGGCCTGGGAGAGACAGAGGCTGTCGGGCCCCCTCTGCCAGCCTGGGGGTCCTTACATCTGTGTGTCTTCTCCTGGCTTTCTTCTTGGAGAGTTTCAGGCCTGTGCTCTTCCGGTCTCTGCAGGGTAGCCGGTGAGGGTAGAGGTTGGAGGTGTGGTGGGGCCTCACCACAGTGGGATGTGAGTGGGCCCTGGCTAGCTGCCCACCCCTCGCTCACCCCAGGTGACCAGGTAACTCAGGTGCCCTCAGGCAGGCCGGGGCCCACAAGGGGCTGTGCGCCCTCTAGTGGCCAATACAGGCGTCACACCCAGTGGTACCTAGTCAGGTGGAGGCTGGCCCAGGCTAGGTGGCCTTCTCCAGGAACAAAGCAGCCGCAGAGACAAGGAGAGGTCTCCAGTCAGCCCTCTGGAAGCCTCTGGTCCCTGGGTCTCTGAGCCGAGACCCAGCCTTGGGGCCCCTCAGGTGTCTGCTCTGCCCACCTACCCTTTGCCATCCATAGAGCTCTCCTCCTCCTCCTCCAAGTCCACTGCAGGGCTGGTGCGCGGCGGGCATGACCGGGTGGACACGTTCCGGGCCAGGACAGAACCTTTGGAGTAAAGTGGGAGTGGGGTTGTGCCTGCTCCCTCCCGGCCCCTCCTTAGCCTTCCAACATGGCCATTTCTAGAGGGGCCACTGCCTGCTACCCATGCTGGGGTACCCCTCCCCTTTGGTTAGCTAGGGCCCTTGGTTCTATGAGGCCAGGGGCTCAGTCATTGCTTATTATCTATTTACCCCCAGACTCAGAAAGACACAAGGGCTCTGAGATGACACGGCAAGTAATGCCCTGCTCCCAATACAAATGTACCAACAGCCTCAGTTTACCCTTCTATGAGGAGTAAGGAAGCCGGCCTCTGGAACTGGACCAAAGTCCATGGGTCTTTTCTCGCAGGCCTCCCCTCCCCACCCACGACCATACCCAAAGTTCCAGGGGGCCCAGGCAGAGAGGGAGCGTTCTTTTGTGCTTCTGACCAGCTAAGAAAGGAGACAAAGAGTTGGCATTTCTCACCAGGCCCGGCTGTCTGTAAGCCACCCCAGCACAGCCAGTTGGCGGTGGGCCGGGGCCAGGTCCCTATTCAGCAGGAAAGGTTTCTTGTTTCCTGCTACAAGTTCCTCTGACCTGCACAGCCCTACCCCACTCCCACCCCCACGGCCTCTACTCCTGGCTGGAGGATCTGCCCAGAAGTCCCCTGCCCTGAGGATACGAATAAAGGGGCTTTCTCCACGCTGGCTCTGGTCCAGGGGCAGGGCCGCTGTGGGAGGTGCAGCCCCGGCACCCAGTAGAGACAGGCCTGCTCTCGAGATGGGGCACAGTCCCCAGCCTTTTCTCCTGTTAAAATACTTGTGGAACAAAAGGGACTGAAACGTACTTGGGTTTCATCATTTACAGTCGACTCTTGTCCTTCTGATGCCCCTGTCACGGTTCCAACAGTTACCAAGACACTGCCACACAGACAGGGAGTCTGGAGCTACCCTGGGAACTCTAGGGGCCAGGCCGGTCACCCCCACCCGTGCTTACCTTGTGGGGGCAGGTCAAAGCGGACATGCCCGTCATAATGCATGGCGCTGTGGAACCTGCTGTCACAGGCCTCGCAGAGGTTGAGGGGTCCCCGGCGGTGCAGCTGCTGGCAGTCGGCGTGGTGGCATACCTGTGTGGCGAAGGACGGGGAGACGCCCGTGCAGCTGCTTGGTGACATGGCCCCCGATTTACCATCTCGCCCAATCCTACGCTCTCCCCCACCGCCACCGATGACTTTCAATCTTCTCCTTCGTCCCCCAACCTCCCACAGCTCACTCCTAGCACTGTCCCTGCTGAAATGAAAGCCATCAGAAGACGACAATCCCTGAGCTCCCACCACGTCACCCGCCTGCCCAGGGCTGGAGGGGCTTGGCCCTGCTCCAACCCGAGGCCAGCCTTCTGAGATCCACACCCCTCAGGCGAGGTGGGGGACACCACTCAGCCTTCGCCCCTCTGCACTGAATCACCCCCATCGTCATTCCAACATGTGATCCCACCATCTCCAGCGGCCACTCCCCTTTACAGCCAAGCTCCAGAAAATGGCTCCCTACACTCACACTTCCCAGTTCTCTTCTGTCACTACTCTCTTTCCTGACTTTTTGTTTAAAAATATTTCAAACCTACAGAAAGTTATGACTAGTACACTGATACCCACACACCCTATAGCTTCCCCAATCGTTCACATTTTGCCACACTGGCTTTCTCGACTCGTTTTCATTACCCATCTCCCCAGAGCAGAAATTATGGCATCACTGAGGAGAACGTGCGTCATACAAAAACCAGTACAGTTGTCACACCCGGGAAACTGACATACAGTCCACCTGGAGTCCACACCTGCATGTTTCCCTACCATCTAAATAATGTCCTTTATTGGGGTGGCCGGTTAGCTCAGTTGGTTAGACCACAGGCTCATACCAGGGTTGCTGGTTTGATCCCCACATGGGCCACTGAGGTGCGCCCTCCACAACTAGATTGAAACAACTACTCGACTTGGAGCTGATGGGTCCTGGAAAAAACACACTGTTCTCCAATCAAAAAAAAAAGAAAAAAGAAAAAAAAATTTAAAAAAAAGTAATAATGTCCTTTATAGATTTTTTGCCACATCCAATCAGTTTTCACACACGCATTTGGTTGTGTCTATTTATTCCTTTAAGAATGAATTACCCAATACTTTTTCTTTTTTTCTTTCTTTGGTCTTTCATGACATGGAGATTTCGGAAGCGTCCGAGCCAGTAGTCTGGCAGAAATCCCCTCCAGGAGGATTTGTCTGCAGGATCTCAGGTAGTTTCAGGCTGAGCATTTGGGCAGGGACACAAGACAGCTGACTGTGTGGCCTCATTAGCGCTCCCACAACGCCAGCTCACTGGGGGAACCTCGCTGTCCTTTGTCAAGTCCCTTTTCCTCTTTGTAATGAGTAAGTCATCTGTGGGGTGATGCTGAGATATCCTGCTCCCCAGCAAAGTCACACTCTAGGGCTTCAGCACTCATGCAAGACTTTGGCCTAAATCAATTATTGCCACGATAGATGACCTGGAGGGTTTCTGATTCTCCCATTAAGTTTTTGCCCCCTCTTCATCACACCAAACTCACTCTTCTGGGTCCCCAATGACCCCCATGTTTTTAAGTCCGCTCGTCCTTTCTCACAGGACCCAGCATTGGACCCTGGTGGCCTCTTTGAAACCGTTTCTTCCTCAGTCCCCATCCTCCATGCTCTGCCGGTTCTCCTTCCTCTCCCACCCCAGCTGTGGGGTCCTCCTCACTTTTCTCTACCTCCACCCCCCGGGACGCAGCCAGTCTCATGACTTGAAACACCTTCCCCGTGCTGAGGACTCCCAATCTCGTTAGGACCTCGCCCAGGATGCTGGACTGCCCTTCTCCATTCTCCCAAGTCTAACAAGCATCTCAAATTTAAAACATCCACACATGAGCGCCTGACTTCTCCAGGTGGCTCCATCCACTGCAATTAATCCATTGCCTTCTAGTCGTGCAGTGTTATGGGTTGAATTGTGTCCCTCAAAGACAGGTAGAAGCCTAGCCCCCAGCACCTCAGAATGTGACCTTCTTTGGAAATAGGGTCATAGCAGGTGTCATTAGTTAAGATGGTCACACTGGAGTCTGTGATCACAGCGTAGAGTATGGAACAGTCATATGACTGGCGTCTGAATAAGGCAAGACAAAGACATGGAGACACAGGGAGAGGACCACGTGAGTGATGTATCTACACGCCAAGGAACGCCAAGGGGCACCAGCGCCTCCAAAGCTGGGAGAGGCAGGAAGGCTCCTCCCCTAGAGCCTGCAGAGCGACGGTGGCCCTGCAGACACTTGGCCTCCAGAGCTGGGAGACAATAAACCTCTGCTGCTCTGAAGCCACCCAGTTGGTGTCAATTTGCTACGGCCGGCCCAGGAAACAATTACATTAGGCCAAAAACCTTGGGGTCACCTTTGATCTTCCCATTACACCCCCATCCAGTCAGTCCGAAAATTCTGTTGGCTCCACCTTTAATATCTGTAGCTTCAACCCGGCCACCCTCTCCAGCCCAGCACTGCCGCTTGGCCCCAGCTGAATTTCCTAACTGCCTCCCCGCTTCCACCCTTGCTTCCAGTCTATTCTCCGTGAGACCAGAGTGGACCCTCTTCCAAGAGAAGGCACACATACCTACTCATAACTCTACAGTGGCTTTCCATGTTACTCCGAGGATGGTGACCTGGTGGGTCTCCTGTCCTGCATTCCATCCTGGTTCCCTCTGCTCCCCGCACTGGCCTCCCAGCTGTTCTCTGACATACATGTCAGGCGTATCCCCACCTCTGATTGGCTCTGCTAGTCCCTCAGCCTGAAATGCTTTCCCCCAGGTACTGAAATGACCAGCTCCCTCCCTTCTCACAGGTCTTTACTCCAAAGTCACCTTCGCTCCTTCCCAGGTTTCAGCTCCGTCATGCTCCCTCTCCCCTCTGTCCCCCTTCTTTCCTTCACACCATCTAACATCTGTGAATTTCACCTGTTGCTCCCCCCCCCCGCCCCCCACCTTGGCAGGTTGCAACCACAGCGACTCACTGCCCTATATTCAGTCCTACCCACTCAATAAATTAGTTAAGACAATGGAGGGCCACTGAAGAGTTTCTGGCTGGGGACAACCCGATCAGAGATTTTCAAGATGACGGACAGGGTGAGGAAGGCCTGGACAGCAGAGCACATGACTGAAGGGAGGAGGCTGAAAGGGTCTGATCCCCACTTATAATGTGGTCGCCCGTGTGCCTGGGGCCGCCCTAAGAGCTCTTCACCCCAGGAAGGGCTCTGATTGTCCCTATTTTACAGAAGAGGAAAGTGAAGCTCAGAGACGTTAAGTAACTTGTCTAAGGTCACACAGCCAGTGACACCAGGATTAAACGTAGCATGTATAGCTCCAGATCCCAGATTTTCACCACACTCACATCATCTCTTGGGTGGCTGAGAAGGGAGACTGGAGTGGGGGAGGGAGGAAGGCCTTGGGTTAGCTGGGGGCTATGGAGACAGGAAATCAGTCATAGTTTGATGTTTTGGCTCCTGAGTCACTCCACTGCTCCATCAGGCGGGGTCATACTGAAGAGGCCACTTGCTCTAGGCAGGGGGGGGGCTGGGCCTCAGGCAGGCAGCTGTGGACTTCATGTCCCAGATTCCCGAAGGCAGCTTAACTGCCAAGCGCCCCTCTCCTTCCAGACCCTTTTCAAGTGGTCTTCAACGGTGTTCTCAGGCCTTGAGGCAGGAGGGCCGCCCTTCAACCAGAGCAGCTGTTTCTGTCTACTTAATCTAAAGGGAATTTAAAAACTACTCTCCTCAGCCTCGACTCTGCCCACCCCCACCTCGAGTTCCCCAAGGCACTGCTGAGAGAGGGCCTGGCTTTGCAGATTCTTGGGACACCCCCCCACACCCCCCGCCCCCCAGCTGCGAGCAACTTCTCTTGACAATGAATCTGGGAAAAGCACCTGCTCTGCTTCAGCCCTTCTTCCCAGGAGCCCCCCAGTCTGCCAGCTCTGTAGCCCTCTCGCCCTATGAGTCCAGCCTGGCAGTCAGCATGGCACAGGTGCCCCCTCTGACCCCTCCCAGGCCTCTCAAGATTTCTCTGACAGCTTCATTTGCTGGTGCCAGGCCTGGCACTGGGTGGTGGGGCTGCAGACCGACCAGTTACCAAGGCCCTGGTCTCATGGTGGGTGGAGGGTGACATGACAGGACATGCTAGGTGGTAGGGCTCCTGCGGAGGGTCTCCGAGATCCTTCCAGCCCAAGTACCTGGTTCTGTGCCACAATCTTGTTTTTACACCAATCCAATATAGAGATGGCAGCTTTTACACAAAGATTCACTCCTTATGGCAGATTCAGAATTCACCCAATATTTATGGTGCACACACTCTGTGCCCGCCCCGGGGAGGCGCTGGGCTCCCTGGGGAGATTGGGGGAGACATTTCCCAGCACTGTGGGGGGCTTTGGTGAGCACCACCACTATGTTCCTCCCTCCTCACTGCTTCTCTGTTACTGCTAATAATGACGGGAGCCGGGTCCCAGCCCGCCGGCCTCCTCGGCGTCCATCTGCCTGGCAGACCCCAGCCCTGGGGACACCAGTGGCACGTGAGGCTCAGGCTCAGTACCCTCACTTAATCAGCAGGTCTGGTTGAGGCTAAGGTTCCCGGGACCCTCAGGGAGAAAGAACCACAAGCCCCACTGGGAGGCTGTGGCTAGGTGGGCAGAGCCCCCTGGCACTGTGTCTGCTCTCCCACCTCTACTGCCAAACCGCAGGGTCTCCCATAGCCCCCTCCAGAGGCAGGGGTCTCCCCAGCACTGAAGCGGGGCAGCCCCTTTCCAACTTCTTTCAGACCCAGGTGCCCAATGCCCTCCTTTGTGTTGTCCACCATGCCAACCCTCTTAAGGATAGCAGGGGCGGGGCAGCAGGGTCTAGGGGCCAAAGTTCCCAGGACTCAACCCAAAGGAGGGAGAGCCCAGTAAATGGTACAGCCAGGTTGCACTGCAACTTCAAAGGCAGCGAATGGACTAGAACGTCACAAATACAGAGACGGCCCTTTGGGGAGCAGGGTCAAGGCACCCTCCCATGGGGATGGGGCACCAGAAGTGGCTTTCTCCCCAAGCCCAAGAGCTGGGGCC